CATAATGCAATTAATATTATTACTTCTACATAAAAATTTAATGCATTGTCTCCAATCATTCGTGTCAACAGTCGTCAGTTGTTCTTCTTTAGATTAAGGAATTGCAAAGAAATAGAAACAATGGTTGAAGAATTAAGTGCTATATTGATTAAAGAATCTTCTGTAGCAGATACCAAAAATTTTCAAGAAGCAAAAAACAACATTATTAGAAATCTATAATTTAGCAACAGAAGAATCGTATAATTTTTCATTTATTAATTTGATGAAGGCCGATATTAATGATATATTTTATAAACGTTTTGACGCTAAATTAATTATTGATTAATAATATTATCAACAAATAATATTATTAATCACTATCGCTTTTCCCTTTTCCTTTACCTTTTAACACCTTAACTTCTTTTTCTAACTTATCAATTTTGTTCCGTGCTGAAGCTGTCCAAATTATGGGCGTTATTTTTGAATAGTCCATACGTAAATAATTATCTTTTCCCTCAAAAATAATATTGTCCCATTCGGAAGGCATTTTCTTTGTTTTAAAATCATCGGCAATATGTACGACGCACTTCTGAGACTGTCCTATATAATTATAATTTTTTGGCTTAATATACTTGATTAGTTCTAATTATTCTGTGACGTCAATCTCTTTAACATTTTCTTTTAACCTTTTATCAGATATTTCGGTTAATGCTCCATTGATATATAGTCCTATATTTGACAATTCGCCAATATTGGCCCCATTAATAGAATGAAAGATAATTTCGTCGTTATCTGGATTATCTATTTTGACTCTTTGACTTCCTGAAACATCTGAATGCGTCATATCTAAATATCCTAATAAATTATCATTCGCTTCACTTATTATTATTTCTGGTATAGAACCAATAGCACCATCAATAAAACTAATTGACCTGTCTGTATCTCCGTTTCTTAAAACTAAATCATAATCGCTATCGTTTAAATTTTCATAGATTGCTGATGAATATTGAAACAATAGATCGCCTCATACATTTAAATTCGCTTCCGCTATTATATTACCAATGCTATTAAAAGTTTGATTATTTATAACCGCTCTATTTATTGTTATTCCATTAATATCGTCTAATTATAAAATAATAATCCCCGTTATAGGATCAATAATTCTATCGCTTTGAAAATTAAAATTAAATTATGATATTATAACAATCCGTAATATCTAAAATAAAAGATAAAATTCAGAAATAATTTTTTCAATCAAATCAATATTCTCAATAAAAATCAAATAAGATAAAATAAAATCGATCAATATAATAAATTATCTCAATTCAATTATTTGATAATCGAATCTTTCTCATATATTCTATTCTCCAATCTCTGAAATTTCTTAGAATTTCATTTCTTTAATGATGAAAATATTTCCATTCTATACGAATGATTCTAAATTTCAGAAGCAATCCATTATTTCTAGCAATGCAAAATATTTATTTGAGAAAATCCATAATGAGAAATCCGATGACCAAATAATATATAAGATCGTATACGAAATCTAATAATCATAGATATTCTAAGCTCTTATATAGCATATAGATCCTAAAAAAAATTAGATCTCCGCTCCAAGATTATTTCGAATCGCTGCACAAATATCAAAAGAGAGAGAAAAATATAGAAATCTTAGGAGATTTTGGATCATACGACCCTTTATTCGCACGATCCTCTCATCTATTCTAATTTTTCTATTTCATTTATCTCTCATAGGTAATCTAGACGACGATTCGGAGAAATATATAGAAATCTCTATAAATAGATACGATCAATCTATAAATTCTGAAAGATTATAAATGAGAAATAAATTCTCGAGAGAATATTCTACGACATATTTCGATCTTCTATCTCTCTTCCGAATAATCATATCGATAATCAAAGAAAGATAAATTCTACGGAATCCCGACGAATAAATAATCTATATATGGAACCGCATATATTCAAAAAAGACCAGCCCAATAATTTCTAAAAGATTTCGGATCTCCGTCAAATCTAGACCGAGCCGCTGCGCAGACAGCCGAAGAGAGAGATCCAATCCGAAATCTCGATAAATTTCGGATCGCGCGATCCCCGCATCCAGCATAATCTTTCCGCCTCATTTATCCCTCTAAAATTACCCGCGCGACATCTCGACAGAGATCATATATCTTCGTAAATAAGACCGCCAACCTATGAATTCTAAAAGATAATGAGTCTCCATCCATGAGCTATACGGTTCGATCGACCATATAAATAATCAAAGAGAGATATATTATATAGAAAGTCCCGCCAGAAGTAGGGGCGCGTCATGAAAAATCTCCAAAATTTATCGGCGTGCCATTTAGATTCATCCCAAGCCATAATTTTCCGAACGACCTTAATATCTCAGAGCGAGCCAGAAAATCTAGATCGCAACTACACTAATTACTATAGAGTATATTTTCCGAATCTGATAAAATAGCGAGACTGCAGACTACTTTTATTCCAATTATAATATTATTTCATTCAAGAATAGCTACGATATTTAATTAATGTCAATATTTCAAACTCAAGCGCCTCAAGATTCGAATGTAAAATTTTATTAGTACAATGATATATAAAGCATAAATTACAATCCTAATAAATCGAATATCTCAGAGTAAATATATTAATTTTTTTCTATTCAATCGCTCATATTGAAAACTAATATTATATATATTTGCCGAGAAAATCTATGCCATCATCTATATTATATATTAATTAATTCTAAGAAACAAATAAAATTTGAATTATTCCGATTTCTACGACGAATATATAATTAAATCGTAAAATGAAGCAAATTTTTTAAACGCACATCGCAATCAAACCGAATCTTTATTATATGACAAAATATTATTATAAAATATTAAGCATTATACCAATATTTAAGAGTAAGAAATTTCTGAGGTTGCATATTATAGCGATATATTGCAGTTCGGCATTTTAAAAATCTTTTGCCATTAGTCATCGCAGAGATATCTATGGCAATGGTGCCATTAAATATTCCAATCAGCTCTCGCGCAGAGGACAGCCTAGATTTTCATATTTGACATCTGCATCGCGAGGATGGGCAATATGCAGGAAGAGAATAAATATCTTCAATATATTCGTTTTTCTTTCAGAATATCTATTCCATTAATCAACCAATTCGTCTATTGTTCAAATTCTTAGATGGGAATCTGTCTCTTACAAATGAGAGATATTGATTCGGATATATCGTAGGGTTCTGAAGCCCGCCCATGATAACGACCCATTTGAAAGCTTCCCTAGAAACCCTGAGACTCAGTTCTTTAGCTCCCTTTTCATTGATGGGCAGCCCACATCGAATCATAAGATGGCCATGCATTGCAGCATCTTGCAACCTTGCGCGGCTTTGCACGGATGGCAGAGCCAACTGCAGCGCTCTTCACTGCAGGCGCTCTCCATGGAGCTGTCAAAAGCCTACATTCGACCTGTCACAGGTCGCCTATCCCAGGAAGTCTTTGCCTGGGCTTCTATGAGCACACACTTTGCTCAACCTAATCTGGGTGTAGAAGATGCTCCTGTAAATCCTGCTCTCCCGCTTCAAGGTTTTCATGTGCTTCAAGTGGGCAGGTGGTGACCTGAGGCAATCGCAACATCAAACACAAAACATCTACATCGGCATCCTTTATTGACACAGGCGCCCGAGTCAACCAGCTGCCAGTGAAGCCCAAACCTTGGCTGCAGAACGCTGTGCACCACATGGCTGTTGGTGAACCCTGTTCTTGGCTGAGCCATTTGCCACAGATTTGTCTAGCAGGAGGCGCTACCTTGGTTGTCGCAGCGCTAATGTCGCCGATAGGGCCTTGTAAGAATGATCGGAGAAGTCAATCCTCGCAAGACTTAGGTGTGAACAAATCTCCGAGAGCGTGATGCCTGCACCAAAGCATGGGCTGCTTTGAGTAGCGGCCGCAGCAGATCCAAATACAAGAACCCCCTGCAATGATTGCCTGCATTCCTCGGAACTCAATGATGTTGCCTCCCCATGGCCGGCGCTTGAAATTTGTATCTACACCATTGAAACCAGATGAACCAGCCTTTGGATGTGAGAAAGGCAAGCGAGTTGCCCAAATAGGCATCGCGACGATCTTGCTCAACCAGGAGCACATACCTTGAGAACCAGGAGCGTGGCCAAGATGTTTACAAGCACGGCCATGCGGATAAGTCCTGGGCTCGTCAGTGTCTAGCCTCCAAGGCCCGACTGGGTAGCCTTCAGTACATCAAGCCGCTCAAGCCTCTGCCTTGCATGCCACGATTTGTGGTGAAGCGTGAAACGTTGCGCTGCACCTCCCTCAAAACCATACCGGCGCGTAGAGCCATCTCTGAGCCTGTGCAAGACGCACGTGACACACGAGGCAGCTTGTTGCTGCCGGCTTTCACTGCTGGGCTTTCGGCTGAAGCACTACTTTGTCCACAGCGGAGCCTGTCTTGCCGCGAGTTGAAATGCGTGCATTGTAAACATCACTCTCCGTGCCTACATGCCCGCTGATCCTAGCAATGGACATTGGACCTGAATCCGACGTTCTCAACTGAGCCGAGACATTTATTATCTTGGCGACAGACTGCCATCAAGCGGAACGCGCTCCAAATAAATGCCAGTCAGATGGCTCCTGGCAAGTATCAAGACGCTCGGACTCACGGTGCGGTGTCTTGCCGTGCTATAATGCCAGCGGGACCCCTCAAATTGCAAGCCAGTGATTTGGCTTCCAATCGGCCTGAGGTCACAGCAAAAGCAAATCAGCTGCTTGTCAGTGGAGATGCTTATCCATCCTGCTTGGCAGTTTTCTTGGCCCTGGCTGCTGGGAGTGATGTCAATTGCACTCCCGCTGGAGGTGGGGCAGTGATGCTACGAAAAGTGCTGGGGATATGCAGCTTGGAGGGCCAGCTTGCGCGATGCGTGCAGATGTGTTTAATTAAAAACGCCTGTATCGCTTGGCCTGCTGTCCCAAACAGCATCATGCATTCCCCCGCCCGCGGGCCCGTACCGAAGCCTTGCTCCTGTCCCGTGCTCTTCCATCCCGTCATCCCATCCCGAAACAATGTGTTGTCCAGATTTGCCCAGCAGCTTGCTCTGTCGACTGGCCTCCCATCCTGTTGCAAATACGAGCCCTTGCTTGGCTGATGCCCTTTCAGTGTGATGCTCCCTCCCGCCAAGGTCCGGTTGCAACGCCCGCAGGCGCGGTCCGTCGCAAGACAGTTCCTCGTGTCCTGCACCGATAACACAGTTAACGAGGACCTATCCTCTAACATACTGCCTGGGCCGGCTTGTAAGGGCTTACACCACGCCAAAGGCGGACAACGCAACGTGTTGGATGGACCTGGACCTTGGAGTGAATGATGAGGACTTGATGATGCTCGTGATGCTGGCCGCGGGAGGAAGCATCAGTGTGCTTCATTTGAGCCACCAGGGCCCAAACACTAGCCCAAAGCAACAGACGTATTTTGACAATGCGCAGACAGCACAAATGGCAGGGGGAGATGCAACAGCACCCCTTAGCGCAACCTGGTGCGCAGACAAAACACAAAACTGCGCGGAGGAAGCCTCAATCCCACCGCGCCACTCCAGGGCGGGCGGGCGGGAATTTTCAGTGGCTGCAGGAACCCATAGTCGACGACACCTGCAGTTCCTGAAAACATGAAAAACCTGAACAATAGAGGGGGTAGCAAAAGGTGTGGGTGCTTAGGGAAGTGTTAGAAGCATGCACTGGCCTAAAAGCCCAACCCGCCCCAGTACAAGCAAACCGTCACCTCTTGGTGCTCATGCGCTCCAGATTTACGGCAGCACTGCAAACCAATCAAAAATTAACCCATGTCTACAGCCTTGGTGGACACACAAATGGGCGTTGCCCAACTTGTTGAGGCAGTGGGAGCCTGCCGGCCTACCCAGACAGGCTGGCCCTGGCTGGGTTTTCCTCGAGGCGGCCCGCATACGAAAGAGCTCAGCCGACTCCAAGAATTTCTTACGCAAAGCAAGTTTTAGGATCACCCGATGTGCCCAGGGCGCCAGGTCCCGTGAGGGGTGCTAAGGCACAAGGCTAATTTTCACTTATACTTTGTCTTCCTTCTTGATCTTCTGCATGAACATATCTCACCAGCTCGCGCAACGTTACTGTTGCAGCCTAGGCGGGCCATTTCACGGCCATGACGAGCATTCTTTTCATGCTTGTTCTTGCTACATCACGATGGCGCAACACCACCCCCTCCGCCGTTGCCCGAAGCCTTGTTTGTGGTTCGGGTTGCAGTTTCGCCACTCCACACACCAGTCTAAACTGACCTAACGCAACTACTGAGGCACCCGCCGGAAAGTTCTGATGTTGGCTGGAAGGTGGGATTTGAGGCGAATGAGGCACACATCCGACAAACTGAAGACTTCCCGAAGGCCCCACGCAATGAGCCGCGTTCTGCTTGAAGCATCGTGGCCCTGAAACGCAATAATCTGACACCTCGGCAAGGAAGCTCTCAGGAAATGTGTAGCGCAATCGAGACTTGTAGTAAGCACGCAGCTCAGACGTGTAGAAGACAAGGCTGTTTCCAACAAACCTCTGTTCATCTCCATGGCTCTCTTCCCAGATAGCAGGTATAGCATGAATTGCTGAGACGGTGGCGAGTCGCGCTCCTGCTGCGTGACGGCCAGAATGACTTCGTCATGATGCAGTTTGCTCGACTTGTGTTGGAAGCCGCCTGCAGCCAAGGACTCTCTCAAAATTACTCTCTTGCCTGTCCGCATGCCCTTCTTTGGCCGCCTTGTTGCCCATAGAAGAGCTTCTTGCCTCCAGTTCCCAAGCTGCTCACATTGACATGGCCATCAGGATCATTCAAGACCGCTCTAAAAACAGCTGGTCTTCAGCAGTCTTTCACATAAAATCTGGAGGTATCGTGCTGCGTGCTAGCTTGCCTTGCCTGCACTAGGCTTAGCAACCGTATCTTGCGCTTCCCGGAAGGACATCGTCAAAGGCTAGGCACTCGATGTGGTGCTATGTGCAGCGTGCGTTGAAAATCTCTCTTTCAAATTCTATGTTGAGAGAAGTCGGAGATCTAGTCATAGCCCACCCTATACAAGTTCTTGCAATTTCAGAACTGCTTGTTCACGACTCGCAAGCAGAATTGTGAAGCTCAGGGAATCTTGGGAATCCGTCTGGGCAATGTCTACTTGAAAGATTGTTCTCATCGACTTTCTTCTTCTGGCCAGCTTTCGTGGCATGGGCTCCTGTGGTCTTTCTTTCTTTCTTTCTTTCGTTCAGGCTATGGAGGAAGGAATAGCCTGTGGTCTCTCTCCCTCACAGTGAGCTTCCAATTCCGCCAGCTGCAGGCATGCGTAAGTGCTCTGAGCTCCGCACCCCCTCGCAACCTTCGGCACATGCTAGGACCATGCCCCTCACATGACTCAAGCTTCCATCTGCTGCATTACTGAATGGGGAGCTGACTGGATCTCTACACAATCGACAGCGTTTCCTACCTCCAAGCTTCCAATGCACGGAAAGCGATTCCAATAGGACCTGCTCAAACTTTGCTGAGCTTGGCGCAGATCCCGAAATCTGTCGGACAGCACCCTGCATGTGCCAGGTGGATTTCAGCCACGCAGAAATTAGAGCTGCGGCCTTTCGTGGCTGACTCCAATAGCGCACTGGAGGCCCCTTGCGACGTGCATGAAACCAACGACTGTCCAGTCCACTAGTTCAGTGAACGCACGGAGTTATGCAGATAGATGTCTTTCCAGCAGGTTTAGAACTTATCAAGACAGGTCTCCTCCTTGCAGAACCTGTAAGCGAAGCATCATTGCATCCAACAATAACTTTTCAGTGCCGCACGCCAAAAAGCGTTAGCGTATCCGCTGGTGCAGGCATCTCCTGACGGATTTGCATGGTCCGGTCTGGGATCTAGACAGGTAGTGTGGTGGTGGTACTGTCAAAACCCAAATGATATGTCTGATATGTTCTGGCAATACCAGCAGGCACGTGAAGACTGAAAACGGCAATCCATCTGAAAATGCACAATACATCCATTTATGTATGCAGCACGGCATGGCCACTTGTGTACGGCTGAGGTCAAGACTTTTTGCTGCGAAGCACCACTTGCAATCAGTGCGCGCTCACGGATGGCACATTGGCCACAAAACTGTTGATAACTCGCGCAGAGGATGATTTAATCATCTTGCTGAAAAAACAAGTTCTATGCTCCGCTCATCAACGGCCTTGGGACGTTGCTGTTGCGGGGCCGATCCCGAAGCATCAGGATCCCCTTAGCTTGCAGTTCTGCTCATCTCGGGCATTCCCGGCCGCAGCATGGAGTGTGTTTCAAACGCATGGTATGGGCATGCTCAGACCTGGGGCACAGACTAAAAAACTGGACACAATCAGTGCAGTATCTGCACCACGGCTAGTCCTGTTCTTGTCTGAAGCGACAACCAGCGAGTACATTGCTTGCGTTGATGGCTCTCCTGAGATCCAAGTAGTGCTCCTCTCCGTACGCTTGCAGCTCGATGGACGCGACCTTGATTACAGCAGTGTTGTGTTTGTCTCTGATGTCAGCTGTTGAGAGTGCTGCTGGCTGCCCGTCGGTTGCTGCTTTCGCAGCCAGGCGGAAGCTCTCCGGATCTCCCTGGACTACGAGCATCGCTCGCTCAGCCTGAACGGGCAATTGAGGGCTACCTGGTACGCAGGACCTGGCCACACGGGCACGGCTGCCTTTCCAGATGAGCTGGTGACAACCACAGAGAAAGACACCTGATCATCGCTGAAGGCCGATCTTGTCAAAGCTTCGTTCTTGGACGTTTGCGTTTTGTGTTTTTCTGGTTCAGGTTCGGAGCTGGGATTTGAGAGTGGAACTGTGAATGTATGCGGGCTTTGAGAACGGGAAATATGAGCAGGATTTGATCGCGATTGGAAGCGTTTGGCCATCTGCATTAAACATAAGTGTGAACTAGCGACGAGAAAGCTGATTTTGTGGGCAGACCTCTGCAGCGTGTGAAGAGAGGAATTCGAGAAAATTCAAGGATTTCTGAGATTGGATAGGCTTCTTGAAATGGATCCTACCAGCTGGGTGCAAGGGATGCAGGAGGACCTGGAAAGGGACTTACAAGACAAGGAGACCAAAAGCTGATGCCAAACCAAGACACAGAATGAGAGCACAGCACGAGACCGCGTGAGACACGACATGACGCAAGAAGACAAGAGTCACGAGGATTGCAACCCATCTGCGTGTTTGTTCGCGGTCCTGAAGCAGAAGAAGGATCCAAAGGTCAGAACACGACAAATGGGCAGCAACACCCACAAACGCTTAGTGGGCTCATGTCCAGTCATCAAGCATGGAGGCCTGTTCAATCTTCAAGAAGATCCCCCAATTCCAGTTAGACCCGCTCGATCATTTCTACAAGAAAAAATCCTGAAAGCAGCGACAAACCCGAATGCAGCCCATGCGAAACACAATTAATTCACGTGGCTTACCGCGGCAGGCACGACACAATTCGCAGAACGCGCGATGAAGGCAAGCCACTCTCCGTCGCACCTTCCACTCCAATGCCGACTTCACTCTGCACTCTCCATTCCACTTTCCACTTCGCCTTTTTACTCCAATTTCCACTTCACTTCCCGCTCGACCTTCCACTTTCCACTCTGCCAATCCGATCCACTCTCCAGTCCGTCCGCTCTCCGCTCCACTTTCCATGCCGGTCCAAAAGCGATGATGGTCACGGGGACAATGACCCCGAGGGGCCCCATCCCTGTGCATGTCGGAGCTTTTTGACATGTGAAGAAGACATGAGGTCCAACAATGACGACGCTTGACAGGATGGTGACCTTGACGGCTCCCATCCCTGTCAATCTGACACGCGGCTAGGCAACCACAGTCAGTACAAAGGCAGTGACAACTACGAGGATGGCCCCGACAAATCCCATCGCTGTGACTTGAGATATTTGTGATACGCGGCGAAGACACGAGGGTCTCAGGGTAATGACAGTTAAGAGTACAAGGATGGCGATCCCACATGACCCCATTTTGGCAACAAACAAGGTGCGAGGGTCCCAAAGCGATGACGGTTGCAAGGATGGTGATGACAGGCCCCTCATCCCTGTTGTCCTTGCCAGAATCAGTCTTCAGATTTCTGCAATGACAAACTGAAAAAACCTGAAAACACTAAATCCGAATGACATTACAGACTTGACAACATGTCGCAACAAATCCAAGAGATCCACAGGCCAAAAGTGGGGGGAGCGTGGCCTTCAAGTCTGCAGGGGGGGAAGGGTGGCCTCTCCAAAAAAAAATATGAGAACCTACGGCGTCACTACGACTTGATTTCTCTAAGTCGGTGGCTTTGAAAAGTAGCCTTGCGACTGTGAATGTAACTCAACAATGTCATCCCTCCAAGCAAAAATATCGTTTGACGACAAAAACTAGCGTCAGCGCAAAGTTGACAACAACCTACGATAACACCAACGAATCCAGGGGGTCCACAGGTGGCAGAGGATTTTGAGGTTGGGTAAGAGTGTTTATTTTTTTGAGGTTGGGGGGTTGCGCCGCTCATCATGTTCAGATCAAGTTGGGTGGTTTTACCAATGTTTTCAGATGGGGACGGCCCTCGCACCCTAGGCAAGAGCCTCTGGATTGTCCGAGAATTTCTCCCCATGCAAAGGATCCATGTTTGGAAAACAAGAACTCCCGCAAGCTCCAAGAAGCTAGCTTTCGTGGTTCAGTATTTTGAGTAAACTAGCATGTAAACCCACAAAAAAGAGCCATCTGGTCACAAGTGCTGCAGGCTTGTGAGTATCTTGCCAGCCTCATCGAGGGCTCTCTGCGGCTGCTCATGCTCAAGAATCTTTCCATAAATGCTTCCGTCGCCTCTGCAAATGTCGATCCTGCAGGACTGACAGGAGATGACAGGAGAAGTCAGCAATTTCAACAGTGTCCCGGTCCTCGTGGTATCATCCTGAACCTTCAAGGAGACCTTGCTCACCAGCTCGCTGCTCCGCTGTGCCATGTGCACGTCGAAGGCGCTCCTTGGAAAGACTGCCACGCGAATGAAACCTTGTGTCAACAAAGCTGCAACTGCAGGTGTAGGCTTCTGGCCCGCAGGCAGTCACATGCAGAATCTTGTTGCCCAACGGACCCATCCTCAAGAATTCCAAGAACCAAGGAGGCCGAACGCTTGCTGACTCGCGCTCCAATAGCTCCAAGGGTCACGAAGAAACGCCCGGCACCGGTCTGCTGGACCGTCTGAATTACATCCAGGCCGATCTGCAGATGATGCAGACACATGTGCAGGGCTCGGTCAGCTCCAACAACTCTTATTGTGCCTTGAAGCTATTCTGATTTCATCTTTGTGCCTCCAGCTGACCCTCTCTTGCCGGCAGCACCAAAGCTGGAAACAGCGGCTGCAGCGGTGCCGCCGATGCCACAAAGATGTCTCCTCTTGAGCATTCCCGAATCAGAAGCTTTGCCATTTTTACACAGCGTGACGCTTGCTGATGGGATTAGGCATATCGGCATGTGTCCATGTGCACAATGCGTAGCCTGCTTCTCTGACATCCTACGAACACTACTTGCTCTGTCTATGCCGCTTGCTGCACGTCCAGGCGAGAGAAGGGAGGATGGGATGTTTGTTTTCAGGGGAACGATTTGTGCTGGTGGTACAGCATCGTACTCTTTAGAATTGTTCTGCATGAACGAGAGACGCAGAATCACTGTCTGTCTCAAGCTCGATGTTTATCAGCTTATTCCTTAAGGTTCGGAAGCTCAAGGTCAGGCTCGTGGGCAGTTTTGTTGATTCTTGGTTTTGGAAGCGGAGCATCTCCCAGCTCTACACCTTCGCACTCTTCATTGAATAAGGAAGGGCATCGAGCACGCTCATCTGCAAATGATTTCCCTCTGAGTTGCGACCTTTTGATGTCTGCTATGTTCTGGGGTTTGCTCTGATTCCCCTGGGAATTTCTACGGTTTTAATGCTTAGGGGCTCCTCGCTGAGGGTTCCACAGTTTTTGTTCACGTTGCCAACTATGCACGTAATGGCTGAGTTCGGCGGTGAGCACAGGTCTCAGAACTAAGATGGTGGGCCAATATTCATTTGTGGCCGCGTAACTATTTTCTCAGAAAATCACCATACCATGACACGAAGGCCCTTTCTTGCATTGCTGCTGTTCTCCCCAATCTTGTTGTATTCCTGCTACTCCTCCTTCTCCTGCTGCGTCTACTACTGCTTCTGCTGCTGCCACTACTACTACTACTACTACTACGACTACGACTACGCCTGCTGCTGCTACTACTACTACTACTACTACTACGACTACGACTACGACTACGACTACGACTACTACTACTACTACTACTACTACTAGCCGCCCGCCCCCCCTACCAACTATGTTTGCTTAAATTGCCAATATAAATATGGGGGAGGCGGCATTAGAAAACAGTAAGCAACATGACAACGAAGTGCTTTCCACGCAGGGTGCTGGTTAGTTCTCGAAGGCC